GGGTTTACGCGTGTGAGCAAACCAGGTTGCTGAGCCGGCAGTTTGCATGGATGGTTGGGTGTCACGTCCGAAGAGGCTTGCAGAAGCCCTTTGTTGAACAAAGAGCTGGCAACTCCGCACTCAAGCGCCATATTTTTACCGTAGGCTCTAGATTAGAGTTACAAGGCTCAAGCAGGAAATCCAAGTACCCACGGAAGTATGCCTTTGGTTGCGGACTGTAAAGTCCCCAACTGTGACACTCCGTCACTTCCTCCGTCATGAGCCCTAAACGCCCAAGCTCTAAACCAAAACGGTAAACTCAAGAGAAGAGGACGCTGTAGGAACTTTTTTTTGGATAGGTTCCTACACGTTCTCTTCCAAAAGCTGGCTTGATTCACGGCTCCAACAATGCCCTGAATCACGCCAGGTTGAAGCGGGCAATAGAACTGGAATCCAAGATTGTCCGGGAAACTTTCTGGGGGCATCTTGGATCTTTGGATTCCGGGGGGGGGGGGGGGGGGCCATTGAGGTTCAATCGCCGATATTTAACCTCAATAGCCCCCACCCCCCCGGAATCCAAGATCCAAGATGCCCCTAGAAAGTTTTTCGGCGAATCTTGGATTCCATGGTTAGGGTTTATTGAGGTTCAATAGCCGATATGTAACCTCAATAGCCCTCCCCCGGAATCCAAGATTGGCTGAAAAACTTTCTGGGGACATCTTGGATCTTGGATTCCGGGGGGGGTGGGCTATTGAGGTTAAATATCGGCTATTGAACCTCAATAGACCCCAGCTGCATTCTGTAGGGTATTGCCGATGGTATTCGGAAAGGTACATCGGGGGTTTGGTAGGGTGCAACGAAACAAGGTATTCTACACGGTATTCCATGTAGGTGGTATTCTAGAACGTATTTTATAAGGTACTCTACAGGCGCCATAGGGTATTCAATAAGGTATGTCTGAGGTATATGGTGGGTTCTTTTATGAGGTATTTTGCAGTGTATTCTATATGAAATTCTCTAGGGTCTGTAAAGAAAGGGTGTGTTCTATATGGTACTTTATGATTATGATGCTATTCCTCCAGGTTCCTGGTTTCCTTCATAGAAAGCCCTTACTCAATTATAAGCTCCAAGAATAAGCTCCAGTTCAACTAGGGGAATTCTCAGCTCTTGGACTCCTTTTGATTTTCACTATTTGACTGCTCTATCCTTACGGCGTTCTATAGGTATCCCATAGGGTACTCGAAAGGGTATCGGATAGGGTAATAATATCATATCATGGCATTATATATATATATATATGTATGTATGTATATATATATATATGTGGGGGGGGTAAGCGTTTTGCATTCTATAGAGTGTTCTGTGAGCGTTCTATCGGGTACTCTATAGGGATTTTCTTAGGATTGTATTCTTTAGGTATTCTTTAGGCTATGATATGTATATACATACGGGTATGATAGGTATTCTTAGGCGATAGCGGACAGCATATTCAATCAAGTGTGCGTTTATATATATATATATGTATGAGGTATCTAGGGAGGATTCTACAGCGTATTCTGCAGGATATTCTTTATGAAAATCATTAAGGCATATAAGGGTGTATTCTGTAAAGCATTCTATAGGGTATTCGCCTGAGTTCCTGACTTCCTACAGAAAACCTCTACTCAATAATCTACAGTGTAGATGGTGAGGGCGAGATCTTATGCTCCTCCTGGTTGTCCTTATATAAATCCTCATAGGTTTTCGATACGGTATTCTACAGGGTTTATGAAAGATATACAGGGGGTATCTTGCATGTAGAAGATATTCCATGAGGTATTCTGCAGGCTATTCCAGATGTCTTTGTAAGGTGTGTATATATATATGTATATATACATATACATATCGGGTACATTGTGTGTACTATGCAAAGTATTCTATAAGGTATTCTATTAGGTATATTATAAGGTATTGTATAGGGCATTGTAGAGGGCATTCTATAGGGTATGTAAAGGGTGTTCTGAATGGTATATATGATTCAATTTAGGTGGTATCGTAGAGGGAACCCTATAAGGAGTTCTATAAGCTACAGGGTGTTCATTAAGATATATGCAAGGTATATAATGGATATTCTGTAGGATGTGTTGAAATTCTTTCAGGTATATAGAGGGTGTAGCCTTTCAGGTATTCCATAGGCTATTCTTCCAGGTTCCTGATTTCTTTCAGAGAAATCCTTTACTCAATAAACTACAGTTCGATTGGAGAAATGTGTGATTGTGCATATACAATTCCTGATCTACAGGGTAGTCTATAGGGCTATATAAGGTATACGGGTGGTATGGTGGTATCATGGATCCTTCTGGTTTTGGCTGAAGAATCTTTTCTTTGCAAATACGAACCTTCAAAACGATAGCTTCCCACAGCGTAATTGTGGTGCTCCGTCTTTCGTTGTCTTGGTTGTTCAGCACGCAGCCTGAAAAAGTAGGTTCCCACAGCGTCCTCCTCCCAAACTCAAAGCGCTAGAACCCAAATTCCGAAGACCTAAACCGACCAAGCCCTCGATTCGTTAAAGCACACAAATCAACAGGTGGTGCAGAGCCAATGCACTGCTGCCATTGCGGGCCTCCATTCGCAGCAAACCAGCACTCTGGAGGCCTCCACCATCAGCAACATAACCCTACATGGAGGATCATGGGACTCAGGAAGGTTAAAGGTACCTTGATTGGGGCTATAAGTAATTAGAAGTACAGTTACCTCTATGGGGGTGAATAGCGCTTTGAGGGTTCGAGACTGGAATCGGAAGCCTTGGGAGTTGCGGGCTTCAGGTTTTAGGTTTCGTGTTTAGGCCTTTGGCTTCAGATTTTGGGCTCACGGTCCAGGGATGTCCAGGGTGCAGATAACAGCCTGGAGTCATGCTAGAGAGTAGACCAGGGCCACAAAACAGCACCACTCGTAGCAGAAGTAGCTGATGACAGTACCTGTGCATCGAAGTGCCCTTTACATACGTATGTACAGTATATACACAGGCACACAGACAGACATGGGGACAGATGCACAGGCATATGTACTTGTATACATACTTGAAGGCATACAGACATGCTTACCTGCATGCAACAACTCTCTTGTACATATGTACGTGCCTGTGTATATTCAAACGACTTACTTACGCACTTGCGGTTTTGTCAGTGCTTTCTTTCGGCTAGTAACTCTTGGTTTGCTCCAATATCGGTCCCATGCGTTGCAATGCGCCGGAAATGGACGGAGGCCATTCGGCACCAGCAACGTCGGATGCAGCAGGTCCAGGTGGGACCCGACAGTGTGCCGATTCGTTCCTGCTGGTTTCAAGGTTGACAGCAGGAATACGAGGAAGACGGATTGCCGATGATTATAAAACGAAGAAGAGTAGCCCCCTGGCCCCTCCTCCAAGTATCGCAAGGGTCAGCTCCTTGGAGATGTCGGCGCTCTGAAGTCGCAGCACGCGACCCAGGATTTGGGAAGTGGAGAGGCCGATGTTAAGACGGACTGACATGGAGAGCTCGTGGGCATGTTGACCTCGTCAGCGTGTATGTATGTATGTATGTATGCATATAAATATATAGAGTACGTGTTATATATATATATATATATGTATACACGCAGTCATTCACCCATATAAGAGTACAGTGCATCTGACCGTACTCTGCAATCAGAAATGTACTGGAAACGAAGAATAATACTCTTCGTTGTGAGCAGTGAGCAAAGGCTCGTGGATTCTTTGCGAGCCCAGCGGTCGTCCAGGCTCCGCCAGCACAGATCAGCAGCGCTCATGGTCTTGAGCCACAGAGTTCATATTAACCTGCTTGTCCTGAACATGGCAGGATCTCGGATGGCATACAAGGAGGAAGCTGAGCCTATACATGCGCCAAGCTGGCACATCATGCCCCAAAGCAGCGGCAGATGTGCAAGTTGGGCGAACTTCATGTGATGGTAGCAACCGTCAAACGGCAGTTTCAGGTGGGCAGTTGGCGTGGCTTGCTGTACAGAGATTTCCTATGTACCGCACCCCCAACATCCTTACATGTGCCCACATGTAGGTTACCCACCTTTTATCAACGACCCACTTGAAACTGTCTTTGGAACAGGTGGTCCCTGGCTGTACCGCTTGTGAGTCGTGAGGATGGCATTCTTGGACGGGCGTGACAGCCAGAGATCGCATGCATTCCGCGAAGCGGACATCAGCTGCTAAGCGTCGCAGCCATAGCCAGTTCTCCGAGACCGCTAGACCATACTTTGGGCGTCCGGGTTATGGAGCTATGAGACCGTGTGCGAAGCCCTACACTTCTTAGTCCCAACGTGGCTCGGATGATGACGCGCCGGATCAGAGCATCGTGCTACATCGCGTTAAAGCAGTGACTGGACTCTTTGTACGATTTGACGGTTTCAGGGCTTCACGGTCCCGAAGCCATGACTCCATGACTGCCGCTGAAGAGAGTCCTTGGTACCCTCATGTTTCGCCATTGCACTAAGGCGATCTACAAGGAGTGCACAGCTCGGAAAGGACTAGTTTGCCCTCCGCAGATGCCGGATCCACAGCTAGAGTTGACGCAGAAATCGTCCAGGCAGCAAGGTCTCCCATGCATGACTCCTCTGGACTGCAGCTTGCAGCAAAATCCATACAGCGAGGTCTCACAACTCCAACATCACCGCAGGCGACGCCCTAGACATTGCTTCTCTCTGATCCTGACTACGGAAGTCCGGGTCTGTATGGATGAATCCTCGTTTATCTCACTTCATCGTATGCCTGCGCCAGGCAGTTTTTGATCTTGCAGCTACTGCCGTCCCTTATTGTTTATTGAAATGCACATCGTCATGTTGACCCTGCTTTTCCCAAAGCCCGGACTTCAGGGAGCTTTCGGTTTTGAGCGTTTTTCGACGTGCCGGAAAAAGGGCAGCGATTGAAGACAGCCTAGCCAAATCCTCTATAGGAAGCCCTTAGCCTTCCTAAACCCCTAAACCCTAAACCCCCAAACCCCCAAACCCTAAACTTATACACTCGATCGCAGATCTCTCCATCTTCGTGATGCCCATGCTCCAGTTCTTCCCCATACCAGACTGCTGCTTCGATGAGGTCAAGGTCAGGGCGGGCTTTGGTGGTGCTTTCGGCCCTTTATGGCGGCTTCAAGAAGTTAGCAGTATGCGGTCGATCGGTACCTAGACAACAGGTTTGGTTGCCTGGTTTGGTTGTGTATAGATTGAGGTCCCTGATTTGTGGAAGCTCCCTTATTCCGTCCCATTCAGCCCTGAGATCTGCTTTAAATTGAGCACGAAGAGAAGCAGAAGGATCCCCAAAGAATCTGACTCCCTTAACCAAACATGGACTTAGGATGTTCGGCTTTAGGGTTCGAGTTTGGCATTACCCAAAGGCCCCAAAGTAGTCCCTTTTTGGGGTTCATATATAGAATCCTATAGGGTAACCCCAAAAAGGAACTACTTTGGGGCCTCTGGGTAAAGTGTAGTATCCCTGGCTTTCCGGATCCGAGGTGTTGAGGCTATGCGTAGCTTTTAGGCCGTTAAGCCGTTAAACATCGAGGGCTTTGGGACTTTGAAGGAACTGCAACAGGTCCCAATGTGGATCTATGACAAGTCCTGGTCTCCGGATTTCAAGAACGACGAAGAGGCGGAGACAGAGGGTGGACTGCTGAAACTTGGGGTTCCCGTCGTGCTGGTACTCGTTTTGGATATGCATTCTGCATTCCTTGCCCTTTGCAAGTAAACCAGTGCCAAGAGGGTTCATCTTGCACATCAGCAGGATGCTGGCCAGACCTGCTCCAGCCTGAGACCCGCTGCACCAGATTCAGTCTTCACAGCGAAAGCAGGTGAGTGCTAGTGTCAGTCATTAAGACTGGGCGATGATCCTGTGCGTGCATGGCTGATTTTCACGGCTGCAGGCGAGCCAATGGCTTTGGTTGGCCAAATGCAGGAGCGGTATTCCCTGCACATGGCGAGAAGATGATCACAAGATCTGAGAAGCGAATCCGGTACGGCGCCACGCAAGTGGTGAGTGGCTACTTCTTGCCTTTGGTTAGTAGGGAATGGAAGAGTGGTAGTAACAGTAGTTATAATTGTACCCCATTCCTCCATTCCCTACTAACCCAAGGTAAGACTTGTAGCAGAGATGCCCAAGACTGTTGCAACTGTGCCAGGACGACAACCTGCCAACGCCTAGATCGAAGGTCATTGAGGCACGCCATTTCCTGAAATTGCAGGGTGGATAGAGCTGCTTCGCCTTTGGATCCAGGTACTATAGGGGCCTCAATAATTACCAGTACTAGTTTGGGGGTTCCTTATTATTCTGATAGTAGAATGGGCCCCAAAACCCTATTCTATTCACTAAGGCCCCAAATTAGAGTTCGGGTTCGTGTTCGTTAAGGTGCCCACCTTTTTCAGGCCCATGTTTTCTGGGAGCGCAACCAATGGGAAGCGAGAATGTTCATAGGGACTGGGTTAAGGTTTAGGGTTTAGGGTTATTGTACAGACTGTTGCGAGAATAGCACAAGTAACAAAGTTGGTTGAAGCCATTAAAAGGAGAGCCCCGGTATCCTTCACACTGGTACCTCTACTGGTAAATGTGAGCCAACCGCAGCCCTACTTCGTTGTTGGTTGACGGGTGTCGGGGCTTGGTGTCTTACATGTCGAGAGAGAGAGAGAGAGAGAGAGAGAGAGAGAGAGAGAGAGAGAGAGAGCGTTTTTCACTCCCCGCAGAACCCATTCAATGAAATGGGTGGGCTTGAAGCCCGGGGACGCTGACCCGTCCCCATGCCCACGAGAGAGAGAGAGAGAGAGAGAGAGAGAGAGAGAGAGCGAGCGGGCGCGGGGGGCGCTTGCGTGCTCCTTTGTCCGATTGCAAGCAAGAGCGAGAGAGAGAGACAGAGAGAGAGAGAGAAAGACAAGAGCAGTGGCGCGGGGAATCCAGTGAACCGTAACTTCCTTGTTTCCCAAACCATGGGGAACCCGGCCACTCCTCCTGAAAAACAGGAGCACAAGTCTTTGTACAGACCGAGCCCATCCATTCCAAATAATGGATGGGGCAGCGCACCCGCACGGGGCGGGAGGACTGCTCCCGCTCCAAGCCCCTAGCAAAGCAAAGCAAAGAGAGAAGAGCCCAGTTGCCAGTTGCCACCTCGCGCCTTTGCAAATACACTGGAGGCTCTTGAGATCGGGCCATGCAACGCGCCTAAACCCTCAACCGCTACCAAACGAAACAGCGAGAGCTTGAGCCCCCAAAAATTTCCCGCAGGCCGACGTCGACCAGCCGGCTCCGGAGATCCCTTATGCGGCCCCGAGCTGAAACATGTCATAGAGAAGCCTACGCACCATGCTACATGGGCAGTTGTCAAAATTAGGATCCCTTTTTGGGTACCTTAAATAGTAGGTGCCGTACTATAATAGGGACCCAAAAAGGGACCATAATTTTGACAACCACCCACATAGATGAAGCTGTAGTCAAGACGAAGCTTGGCGAATAGGCCGGTCCATGAGGAGCTTCTGTTGGATGGATGCCAAGCCCACGGACGTCATGTCAAATGACTCATCCAAAGCAACACTGGGGGATCTTGCCAAGGCCAAGCATCCACGAGTTTGGGCCACAGAAGTTCGTCTTTTGATGTGCCAAGGGGGCTGCGAGACTAAGGAGGTTTCATGCAGTTTAGGGTGTGAGGTGCCAAAGTGAGCGATGAGAGGTCGAGAAGTCTTCCTGAAGGGCTGTGTCCGATTTGCCTTGTTCGTCATATGGATGCATGTTGAATGCGTGATCAAGCCATGCAGACAGCTCGTGTCATTCTTCGCGGTGTCTATCGGTCTACCTATTGTATATATTTGCATACATATGTGTGTATCCAGTGGCACAACAATACGACATAATGTCGTTGTCTCGGTTTGTGCATGTGCGTTGCACGTTTACTTACTTTCCAAGTTTGCCAAGACGGCGGGGCTGCAAGTTGTGTTTCCTCGGCTCAGCTGTCCTTTGGGACGTGACAAGTCTGGAAGCTTCGAAGGGCGCTTGACCCGGGGCGACAACTCATAAAGTGCAAGTGCAATCTTGCTCAGGCTGCTTGGATGGACTTAAGCTGCCGTTGCGCGGTTGGCGGTGTGGGCAGAGAGTTAGTTCAAGCCTGAAGTGGAGCTAACTAGCGGCAACGTACAGTGAGTTCTCAAGGAAGCAGAATAGTGGGTTGAGAAGACATATGTGTATGCGAACTGTTGTATTCCGTTGCTTGCTTTATCGAGAACGGAATATTGCTTGCGTTGCACAGTGAGGCTGCAATTTTATCGGTCACAAGCTGCAGAACCCAGGAATCTAGACCCCAAAACCCAAAAAACAAGGGGCTTGACGAGCGTCCCGGCTACCAGGTTCGGCACAGCTTCATTGCGTCGCGAGAGTATGACTTTGAAGGCGGGCTACCGGGCAGCGGGCAATGCAGCTGTGTTCTAGGAGTGCCGGAAACTGGCGTTCACGAAACAGTCGCCAGCCCTTTCTTTAGGACTTAGGTCCTATAACTTAATCATAATATTAGTTTAAGGATTAATCCGCAATTAAGGTAGCCAGATTTGATAAAAACGATTCCACCAAAGGAACCCGGTTGCAGAGCTTGCGACAAGCTTGCAAAGAGTCTCGCACCTGCCAGGGGTTGGTCACTTGCCGAGCTATGCGCCGGACCCAGAAAGCACAGTTTGTTTTGATTACGCGATTCGGCGAGAATCATATAGGGCAGAGCTGAAGCGTTGTATGGTTCAAAGCTTAGGGGGCATTGTGATTAGGTGATCAGGGCTTTCTGGTGTAGGGTTTTCCATATAGCCGCTGGCAGAGGCCGGTTTCTGGGTCGGCAAACAATGGGCTTTTGATCAATAAAGGAGGACGCATGCACAAGTGCACTCAAGCTTTGTATTTGAAGTCACCTGCCCAGAGAGTGTGCGGTACTCTGTTGTTGATCATTCTTACCCGTCGAAAGTGGAGATTTCAACAAGACTCTTACACTCCTTGTTGAAATCCACAAGAAGTGTGCTTGGAGAGTTTCGTCATCCTCATGACCACGGCCATCACGGCAATCACCATCATCATCACCACAAAAGAATTGATGGGCTCGTAACATAGACCCCACACAGTCGGACGCTGATGAAAAGGAACCTGGCTGGGGACTAGGCCTTCGATGCCGGAGCCAAGTTTCTAGAGTCGACCCTTCGACGCGACAAAGGACCTAACTCTTCCCGCTCTTAGATCAAAACCGGTTTTTCGTTTAATATGCCCGACAAAACAAAGTCGCCTGTATCATGAGAACACAGAAATTCGCTGAACAATGGGTAGAGAGGTAAGCCGAGTTGCAGTTACAACTCACGCTTTGCACTCTTCGAGCCAAGACCTAGGTCCCACATTCTGTAGTGCTGCAAACAGCACATATACATGTGCATGCATATAGTGTACATGTGTATACATTTCGTCAAGTGAAACAATAGCACAAGCAGACGTGACATAAGCTATCTACCAGACTTACATCCCTCAGGTCAATCAGCACAGCACCGTCAAGACGGAACCTGTGCCTGGTACTTAGCCTCTTTTTTGCGTGTCTCCTCGGAACAAAGCCTTTTGGTGTTTCGGGGGTCTCGGGGTTCAGTGCTTGCATGTTAGGGAGCCTTTGGGTTGAAGCTTCGGGTCACCTACACCTCCTCGTGTTTGTTTTGTGAGAGCTTCTGAACATCACGAGGATGTATGTTGCCCTGGCCCTGCAAACAGCCGCCTTCAAACACAGTTCAAGCCAAAGGTTCGTTTGCAAGAGCTTCATTCCGAACCCATCGTCACCGAAATAAATGAAATGGTTCTTCAAATAAGACCATAGAAGCGTACTGGTAACTATCGCCGGTCATCTTGTCAGACGGTTCACTCTTTCTCTGTTGCAATCCTTCAAAGTCGTGTTACAACCTGCTTGAGGGCGCACGAATACCTGACATAAAGCCTATCCAGCCCAGCTCTCAAAAATGCTCTACAACCGTTAAACTACGGCTGATGATATAAATCCTGCATTCCCCATCATAGGGAATATGCCATAAGTCCCATAGTTTAGGCTCCTTAAGGTAATGATGTATATCATCAACCCTAAACCCTAAACCCCCTATAAGATCCCTTAAAGGTACCCTTGTAGATCCCTTTAAAGGAACCCCAGGATGCTACATCAATCGGACCAGGCTGGTGGACCGGAGCAACTCCTTCCAGTCTACCGGCGGGAGCACCGAAGCAGTGTCGACCGTCTAGGCGATCCGTGCCCCCCCTTGAAAAAAATACTTGCAACTGGCTTTGTTGAAGATATGCTGAGGTCTTATTTTGATATAATATTGCTAAAAATATACATTACAAGGATCAATTTAAGGATGGTTTACTGTTTTGAATGAATCGGTGATTAAAGCATAGACTTGATTCGGTTCCAAAATCACAACAAAAGGTTCTTCTGTCTATAAATACACTAAGTTTGGAGTGATTATTGGGATGTGGTCCACGCATGCTGGATTCTCTCCTCCCCCCTGAGTGGTCGGAGGCGCCACTCGCGCGCGGGCGTCTGTCTATTTTAGGAGAACGATTTCGTACTATAAGTGATAGAAATTAGAAGAGATTCAATTCGTTCATATATATATATACATATATATATATTCGGTATAGGTATAAATTCTCATATACCCTTTTTTGTCTGTATTCTCTAATAAGTCTGTGTCCTTGTATTTTAGTCCTTTCCGCGTTTCTTCGTGAAAACCCTCTTGCATGGTTGTCTCGCATCACTATGTCGCAAGCGCTTCTCTCCCGGTACTAAAACTAGGAGATCTCGTAGTATCAGAATCTTCTAAGTTTTGGTGGCTTTAGGCTGATATTCTAGTGGTAATGAAATTCTACAGGTTTTTGGCGGAGGCTCTAGTGTTGTGTTTGCTGAATGAAAGTATCAGTCGTATGTCGGGATTCGTGTCCAGTTCGTGGCTGGTTTCTTGTCCGGTTCGTGATTGGTTCGTGTCCGGGTTCGTGTCTGGTTCCCGACTGTTTCGTGGGTTCGTGTTTGGGTTGGTGTCTGGGTTCGTGTCTAGGTTCGTGTTTGGTTCGGGTCTAGCTCGAGTTTGGTTTCGTATTTGAGTTCGTATTTGTTTCGTGATTGGTTTTATAACGAAATTTGGCGCAACGAATTTTCGTTTCTCGGATATTAGTATTGTCGGTCGTGCGTCAAGTCGCGTAATATCTTGTAGAGTGCGCTATATATGCTTGGTTGTGGGCGTATCTCGGATGTTCTTCTATAGTGAAGTGGTTCTGATGATTAGAGATAAAAAAATCTAAGGTTATTAGGCATATTTAATAGAAGAAGAAATCTTTATCGATAAATTTAATGATATTCATGGATTTCTAGATCTTCTTCGTTCTCGGTATCTTTAACGGCAAATCGAAATTCGATTTTCTATATCTAAATTCTTCGTATTGTTCTCAACGGCTTTGATAATTTGAAAATATAAAATCTGAAATGAAATTAATACGAAAATATTCAACGGCAAATTCAATGAATTACGTTGAGGTTTCAATTTTTTCTTAATATTCGGGAATAATTTTTTTTGTTTTCTAATTAAATATATTTCTTTCGATAAGATAGAAAAAGAAAGTAAAACTGGGCTGTGCTTTCGGAGTGTTTTTAATTTCTGTGGTTTTGCTGGGTCTTGGTATACAACGATTGATTGTATGGTTTGTAGTGTCAAACAACCATAAGTTTGTAGTGTCAAACAACCATAAGCCACGTTAGCTCAAGCTGCCACTCGAAACGAATTGTCAGTGGTAATTTACCACTGACAATTCGCTTCGAGTGTCAGCAAGCTTCTCATGTGAACATCGCCCTCACCGTGGATCACCTCGAGTGTCAGCGTGGAGCCCTAGAGTGCAGAGTCATGCTGGTGTTTGCGGCAAGACCCATTCGCCGCTGCGGCAAGACCCATTCGCCGCTAGCAGGGTCAGGGTCTGAGGGTAGCATCTAAGAGAGAGTCATGCGGCATGGACCATTCGCCGCCGAGAGCTAGGATGAGAGTCATGTTCTTATCGTCTGCTAGAGTCAGATGCCATAGGTAGGTCGGCAGAGTGTCATAGCAGTGACTTGCAAGAGCAGTTTGTCAGTGTCAGGTACCACATTGCATCACCGAGGCCAGACCTTCCAGTGTCAAGCGATGGCAGGACACTGAGCGATTGCAGTCAGGGTCATCGCCTGAGAGCGCAGATGCATCCGGAGTGCAGTGTCATTTTGTGCGGCATGACCCATTCGCCGCTAGCAG